AACAAAACAGCGCCGCACGCCCCCCTTGCGCTTTTTTTTTACACACCCCCCCCCCCCCCCCCCCCCCCTCCCCTCTTTTTTTTGCTTTCCTTGGTTTCCCCCCAAAGACATGCAGATCAGGTGAGGTAGAAGATTGAATTTGCCTGTATAAATGCATTTGCCTGGTCTTAATCCTATATGATAGACAGGTGAACTGCTTCCCTACCATTTGTGCATGCAGGGATAGTCTTCACCCCCCTGAGAGTCTGAGTAGGAATAAGTAGGCATAGAGGATGAATGTGTAAAAGTGCCCGGTCAAGGTTATTTAACAATTTCTCCATCATTTGGTCAATATACTCCCAGGATTATCTACAACCCGCCTATGGGAGTCACAGAAATGCTGTTGATTCTGGCTGGCTGACGACTTTCTCTCTCTTTCCCTTTTGCTACCACTAAAATCTTTTCCAACCATTGCCAAACAGTCGATATATATCCAGCATTAAGCCACGGAGGAAGGTTTAACCCAGCAGATGACATTCAGTACAGCGCCATAATCATTGCCTCCTAATGAATTAAATAGCCCTGACATTTCACAGCACAACGCTTGTCCTTTTCCCGCAACTGCTCTGCTGTTGTACCCCTCCTTTCATGCATTCTGTCGCTCTCTTGTTCCTGTTCTTCCATTGCATTGCTTTTTCATGTGGACACTTGCTATGCCCCCTCTCTTCCCCCCCCCCCCCCCCCCCCCTTCTCCCACCTCCTCCCTTTCTTTCTGTATCTCTCGCTCCCTTTCTTACTCCTTCCCTCTCTTCTTCTTACTTGTGCACTCATCGGTATGCTACAGCACGCTCAGCTGTCTATGCGGGCTGAGAGAGAGAGAGAGAGAGAAGTGGGGGAGGAGGGGGTGGGTCACTGTTTAGCAGCAGAGACAGAATCCAGCTGGAGGGTCACGACCCTAAATGACCATCCACACTCACACACACGCAGGCACGCTCAATAAGTCATACACTCGCACTTCCCTGATGGCAGGAGCAATAGGTCATATGCCAACAATGTAGGAAGAGAGAGAGAGAGAGAACGAGAGAGGAGAGAGAGAGAACGAGAGAGGAGAGAGAGACAGAGAGAGAGAGAGAGAGGAGAGGGAGACAGAGAGAGAGACAGAGGTTTAGAGGTGGAGGTGTGTTCACTGCTTGCTGAGCCTTAATTGTCCTGTGGTTTGTAGGCGAGGATGGCAAAGAAGAAAAGGTACATAAAAAGTAGCAGTGGAATGAGCATGGTCGGCAGTAGAGGAGACTGCTTTTGAAATAGCGTAAGAACGTTTGTTTTGTCCTGGAATACAGATAAGTGCTGGATGGATGATTGCCTGGCTGCACTGTTTTGGGACCGACAGAGATAGATTCATATAAGCACCTTATGGGTCTGTTCGATTTCCGTCTGTTTGGTGCATAGCCGTGTATGCAAGGACATCACTAAGACATTTGATTGTAAAGAATGGAATGATTATTCACTATAAATATTTGTTTTCAATGTAGTTCCCAAAGGTGTCTTGGGGAGGTGTACTTTTAAGAAATTATGTATAGGTCTTTGTATTAATTGAAATAAATTTATTTCCATAGGGGAAATTTATATTGTCTAATAATAGCAATAACAGCCTTTTATATGATCAAAGAGTTACTATAGATATTCACTGCTGGTGTGTCTTTTGTGGACTGGTCAAGGAAGTATATTTACACTGGAGTTTGTTTATATTCTGACAGAGACGCAAGTTTGTTTTATGTATGTGACACATTGAATATTTGTAGCCTATTGTAAGGACACAGACAGTGCAAGTAGTCAGGTTTAGTCAAACTAAACTACTGAAACAGTCATTTTATATGTCCTGTTTACTGTTGAAGAATTAAGATTTATCTGCAATTGTGTATCGACCATTTCCGTTTATATAATAAACAGACACATGGTGGCTCTGCTTTTCTGTACACAAACAAGCACTCTTATGGACTTACACATTTATTCTCTCACGTTGGTCTTGTCAAATTCATTCACATATTTATCTTACGGGTCGAATGGAAAATAATTTCTCTTCTGATCTCTAAATCCTTGTCATCGTGAGAGTTGACTGTTGGAAAAAACAACAAGAGGTTCAAAGCTCTAATCAGAGCTATAACATGCTGCTGTGAGGATTTTAATCAGAGGGGAGTTCCCGCTGCCCATGATTACTGAGGCAATAGGGGACTTGATGACTTTGAATCCGATATTTATTCCCTGAAAAAACAAAGGCATGTACAATTATTATTATTTTCTTAATAATTGAAGATGAACCAACAAATTCATGCAGGGAAAAGTTCACAACAGCAAACCAACAAGCACATGCCTGAATCAAAACTATCTGCGGTAAATTTATACACTGTAGTGTAAACATAGACTGTAAGGGTGGGGGTAAACCAAACCACGTGCGGAACTATCGCGAGATTGGAGTTGGTTTCCATAGGGACGACAGCCCAACACAGACAAACCCCTTACCTGGACTGGAGACTAGAGTATATCCGGCCGGCGAAAACTTGAAATATTGAAATAGAAATCGTGAAATATAATGTAAGTAATGTATTTCTCAATTTCATTACAGTAAAGCTGAATTAAAAAAAAAAGTTAACGTTGAGTTGTGCCATCACACGGAGGTAAGCCAGGGAGCGTGAGGTAAGTTGGATAAAGCTAGCGTTATGTTATTTAGTTACGTAATGTGCGTAACGTAACACAGCGACAACGGCACTAGTTAGCTTCGTGTCTAGCTACTAGCTTTCACTTAAATTCTAGCTGTGACCTTTTCTGTACAGTTGCAGAAACCTAGATTAGGCCTAGCCAAACTAAAGTGAGTCCACATTTACCAGTCAGAAACATGTATATTACTAGTCACGAGCAAATAATGACATTAGTTAATGGGCTAGCAATTTAAAACTGATTTTTTTTTTTGCTGCTTTAACGAAGCTAGGTTTGGTTTTGACCAAGACAACTGTGCTGCAGGAGTGAACTGGGAACACAAGGACGTCTCAGCCATTTATAGTCAAAAAGCTAAAGATGTCCACTGTGGTTGACAAGGGGAGGTTGGTCCCTCAGTAAAGCTGCTGCTGTCAGGAAGAACTAAAAACCTCAGTATGCCAGTGTGTCTGTCGCCTGAATCTCAACAATAGACCCACAATTTCATGTCATGGCAGGAAAAGCACAGGTGTGATTAGTACCATCAATCAAGGCTGCGTCCTTTTGTTTCCCCTGTTATTGTGTATCACCGGTATATAGCTTCAAGAGGCTCTTATGTGTAACTGAGCCGTCGTTAATGCGACTGTGCTTTCCCTGCTTTGACAAGTAGAAATGTAAGAAAGTGTAGCTATCACGCAAGCTGAGTTCAATAAAAGTTCAGCTTCTCAGCTGTAGGCTACACTGCACTGCTTTACAGTCGAGTGGGCGAAGGTTTCATTTAGGGTATACTAGCAGGTGAAATGTCAGGGTCTTTATTTTTATGACATTACCCACCTTGAGCGAAACTTACAGTAGCTAATCACCTCCACTTACTGTCACTTTGCAATCTGCTCAGTTCCTTGCAGGTGTGGCCTGCCGCACCATTACTGTATAACAATATATTACATCTGCCGCACTGGCTGATTTCTTTAATTGGCTTTTACTGCCTAACAGGCTTACCAGCCATTTGTCAAGCATATACACGTCTGCCAGATACAATTCAAACGCACACGACTGCTTGTTTTAACTGCCTCTTTGTACGTTTGAGCAAATCTGTCGCTGCTATTTTGTTCATTTCATTGCAGCAGTATTCATTTATGGCAGTGTGTGATTTAGCCTATAGGCCCAGTGTGATAACCAGTTTAATACCATTACTGTTGGTTTTTATTGCAGCGGAGACTCTTTGTAAAAGAAAAACCCAGCCCAAGACGCAGGAGGAATACCTGCGTTTTGAGCCCTCCCCCCAAAACAAAGAAGAGACATGAATTTAAATGACTTTGTGGTGCTTCCTAACAACAAGGCCAAATCGGTGAAGCTCAATGCCAGGTAAGATGAGATAAGATCAATGATGTATTTGCATTTGGTAGAAGCCCATTAGGGTTACTTTGCTGCCGTACTGTTTCCATCTGTTTCCATTTAAATTCTGCCGACAGAACGAGCATCTCACAAAATGCAGTTTCAGGCAAGATAAAAACTTGGGACCTATAGCTTCCAATCTGATTCGTTTTCAGTACGGTGTATTTAGTTTTCCTCATAATGCCCGATGCAAAAATGAAGTCGGATCTCCTACATAGTTTCTCATTTGCCAACAGGCAATTGACTGATTCCCTGATCCAGTGTCTAATTGATTAAACCATTGATCAGTCATGGCCACAGAGATCTACCAGTGCAGTAGATGATTTGAACATATTGATGAAAGCCAGGCAGTCCGATCTGACGGAGGTCATTTGGAGGATTGTTGTTGATTGATTGCACATTCTCTGTGTGTGTGTGTGTGTGTGTGTGTGTGTGTGTGTGTGTGTGTGCGTGTGTTGCCATATAGGAACATGCAAGTGCTGCAGATGGAGACAGTGACTCTGGGCCAGGAGAGCACAGAGATGGAGCAGAAACTGCAACAGCTGAAAGAGAGCATGAGTAAAGAGAAGGAGGAGAGAGGGTGAGTATCGGTGTTACAGTTACTGTTGTAGAAAAGGAGGGGAGAGGTGACCAGGAGGAGCAGACTGAAGTGGGAAGGTGAGAATGGAAGTAAGACAGTAGATCGCAGCAGGCAGGAGATGGTGAGTGAAGAAAGTGAGTGAGAGAGGAAGAGAGGATAGCGAGAGAGACACAGACAATTTTAGTTTGTTGCAGTTCATCTTGTGTAGCACTAGCACAGGGCTTTAAGGATGAAGGTGTCCATCTGTCAGTCTGTCTGTCTTTCCCACACTAGAGCAAGTTTTCTCCACAACTACACGCTTGATTGACTTCACAGTACTGGGATATATACAGTATTTGATTTGATATTAATAACCATTGTCTTGGTAACAGTGTGATCTGACTCCACCTTCCTAACACATCATTTGTTTTACTTAAATTCTGTGTAAGAATGAGACAGAAATCAATGGCAGGTCTTGCCATGCGAACCTGTCTGAAGAGTTGTGACCATCAACAGCCACACAACAGCAAGAGGATATTTACTTTTGCCCTGTACGATAGTCTATACAAGCAAGAAGAACTGAGGCATGAATGGAGAGATTTGGGGAGTTAAGAGGCTTCACATATAGAGGCTGAAAAACATAAAGTCCAAACAGACACTCGGTCCGCACCATTACCATGTCGGCGTATGCCTGTGGTAGGCGGAGTCTGTACACCATTTAAAATACCTTTTTTTCTCTGTGGCATTGTGATCTCATCAGCGATATATGACACAATAAGCCTTGATGGCTTTTGTTTAAGGTGATGTCTCCTACTACCAGCAAATGTTTTGCCTTCCATTCGGGAGACGTGCTCCTCCCTCGCCGCTCGCCATCACTTCTCGGCAGATTGTGTCCCGACTGTAGGAAAAGGAGCGCAGCCACTGAGTAATAGAGATAGATGGAGGACGGGACTAAATGAGAATTCGGGGGAGGTCGATGACTTCTCTGCCTATAAAGGTCAAGAAAAAAGGTTGCCATGGAAGTAAAAAGGGAGCAGTCAGAGAGTTAATAAAGACAGGCATAGATGAAGTAGGCTCAGTGGACTGCTCTAAAGGTCAGTGAAGCCATACAGAAATGGGTCCTAAGACCTTGAACGCGGCTTCGCTCATAAAAAATGAGTGTAATTTAATGGTAAACTAAGCCTTCAAGTAAACGTAATGAAATGACTATCACATGACCCAAATATCCCATTTGTTTTGGGTTTTTCTTTCCAAATTTTACTCTAAATTGTAACGGTCCGCAATGTATTTTGCTTGACATGTTTTTGCTTGGCCCCAGTAATTGCTGCTATATTTTAAAGAAGGCTTGAATTTGTTTGCAATGTAACATACATTAACTGTTGCAACTCTTTAGACTGATTGCGAGAGATTTACAGAACCTCATGGATGCTGTGTTGCCCTGCACATGATATAAAACAATTTAAATGCCTTAAATACTTCATTTTGAGTTGCTCAGGCAAAAAAGCTTGCACAGATGAACCGTACGTTATACTGACCAGTTTTCTGTCCTACCACAAGCAGCTGCCCCTTCAGTTGTACATTTAGTTTTTGGTCTATCATCTGAAAACAAGAAAATAAAGAAAGACATCAAAAAGTGCTCTTTTGACAAAGAATACAATATTAACTTTATAGAAATTGAACTAGGAAGTCAACTAGGGAGTCCAAACCCGAAGCAGCTTGGCTCATATATCTATATCTATTTTAGATATAGATATCTATATAGATATATACTGTACATAAAAAACATCACACAGAGGCAGTGCTGTTGCCGTCCAATAAAAACATGACCCTTTATCTTCAGATGAACTGGTATGGCAGCAACAGATATTATATTTCATCCCTGAGACCAAAATTTATCTTCCAAAAGGAGTTACCTCATTTATCACGGTGCTCTGGAGACATCAGAGCCAGTGGTAAATTACTACAGAATGACGGCAGACATTGTCCGGCCAGTCATCTCGGGAGTTGGGCCGCTAGCTGCTGAGATTACCGCCTTGCTGGTCCGAACATCTCAAAAACGTCAGCGTACATTCCCAGAAAGGAATTATTTGGACATATTGACCACATATTCATAATCTCAATGGTTTCTCTTTCATTTGAAAAGTGTCAACAATTAATAAAGTGACATTATAGCAGTCCTAGAAAGAAAATTACAAAATCTCCTAAAATCTCCCTGATAGAACAGGTGACACATGCACACGTGTGGTCATTTGGACAGTACCGGGCTTAATATGGACTCTGAATTGAAACAGTACTCGATCTGTGACTCGTCCACATCCCGCCATTACAGAAACGAGCTCAGAGAAAGGCCTCTCGCATTCACTGCGTGAGCATTTGAAGCAGACTTTTCTGCTCGTCTCACATTTCATCCTATTTCCAAGTTTCTCAGTTTGTCAAATGACAAATGATAAGTGTCATCGCAACAACAGAGATTATGTTTTGGTATGTGTCAGTGTATCGGCTGCATAGGACCATATCTACTGTAACTGACGCATGGCTATCAAACCTCAATGAGTTATATATATAGAAAGGCTGTCGCACTGAGATGACATCATCACAATCTGACTCACACACACACACACACACACACACACACACACACACACACACACAC